AAGGAGGTACCCGGAGACCAAAGCCTGATTCCAGAGAACTTAGTCTCTTTTTATGTATCTTCATCTGTACAATTAAAGTGAGTAACTTTTTTTTTTCTTTCCCATTCTGTGAAAGGACTCCTTGGCTGGTGATGTATACAACACAATAATACCCAACTTCAGGAAACATTTTGATCACTGTGGAGTTTAATACAATTATTGACTCTGGAGATTATTATTATTATTGACTGAATTAATGAGGCATTTAGAATAAAATTCAAAACCAGCCAATCTTCAGCATCACCAATGTACATTCATAGCTCCATAGCTTTAATGAATAAGTGCAAAAAGAGAATTTTAGTTCACATAGTGACGAATCTTATTTGCACTTTCATTCTCTATACTATATTTCATAAATCACCTTTCTCCTTCAAATCTAATCTATATATATTATAAAAACTTCATGATATTTTTATCTAAAACAATTATGGAAGAACTGATTTTTTTTCCCTGCTTTAATGACTTACCTATATTAATGACACAGTTTCTTCTGTTTTATTGTAAAATTAAGCACCTATAAATAACAGTTCACATTTTTCAGGTCCTGGAATGGAAATGTCCTGTAGTTGCAATTACAGCAAACCAAAGCACCCACTGGAGGATTTTTCACCTATTAATCCATAGACAAAATCCGACCTTTATATACACGTGCTTCCTCTAGTTGATAATGCATTAAATTAACATTGAAATGCACCTCTGAGAGATAGGGAGTAATCTCTTCACTCAACCTAGGCCCACCCCTACCTGTGTCCTTATCCTAGACTTAATTCACACAATTTTGTTTGACATTAGTACGTATTAGAGTTTGTTCATGATTTAACACAGCTGCCAAAATGACAAAACTTAATAAACTCTAGGAAATTAGGCATGCTGCTAAAATGACTTGAGTAATTTGAAACTATATATTATCGAGTATATCTGTAAGTAGATGACAATTATGTTCACTGATACTGAATCACAAAGAGCAAAGCATGAAAAAATAACATGATTGTGCGATACTCTTGCCAGAGCTCTCTATATGAAAGTATGAATAATTTTCAGACAATAGAATTGTTGAGCTGTCCTCAAGTGAAAGTCGGAGGCAGATGGTAAACAACTCATTTCCAATGATATTTGCTAAAAGAAATAGCGCTGACACTATACAGTTTGATTCATGGAGTCTTAATTACAGGATATAAAGTGTTCTGTAAATGAGCTATTATGCACTTCTCCATTTTGCTTGCTATTTCAGTGAATAAAACCTTTAAAACAGAACAAATTTTTAGTTAAGACACAAGTTACATTTGCTGGAAAATAATATTATCGAATGAATTATGCACTGATTTATGAGCCCAAAATTCTGAATCCTTTTAGTTCTATGGACTCCCTACATGATCCCAGACAAGCCTCCTCCTAGCACAAGATCCTTTGCAGCTTAAAGATTGAAGACTAATACCTGCTTCAGATTAATCCACTGACTAGGGAGATTTAAAACATTGATTTCCAAGGGCATTGAGTTCTTGGAAGCAAGTGAAGAGCAAAACCAGCACATGTTTTTAATGTTATAAATTCTACTATTATTTTGATTGATATTTCTTCTAATAACAAATTTATGCAAGAAGTGATATGGAAAAATTGTATCCATTCTAAAACTTTTCTCACGTATTAAGTTAATCATTCCTGGAAACACTTAATGTTTTCTTTAATATTCTTTAAATCTTTTAGTTTTGCTGAATTACTTAAGTGAAAAATATCTTTGTTTTTAGGCCTGGGAATATCATTATGAATCCCAGCCCACATTATGCCTTTCAAAGTTAAAAAGAAAGGAGAAGAAATGAAAAACAGTAGGGCACATTATAGATAAGATTACTTAGGCTATAAACACTTTTCAACATATTTTTTCATTTTCATTTGCTACATGAAATTGCACAGTATCTGACCCAATATATTCTAATTCTAAAGAACTACAAGTGCATGGTAATATTTTTTCACAGAAAACAATAAGCAAAAGCTTTTAAATCTAATTTATTCAGACAAATAATCTAAGTTTGGAGGAAGGTAGCAGTGTTCCAGTGTACTGCTGTGGAATATAAGAAGCTTTCTAAACTCCCTACCTTAGCTCTTCCTTGAGACTGATCATGAGTAGTTGTAGCTAGTGAGGCCTTAGGGCTTCTTGTGGTTTTGAATTAGACGACCTCAGCTTTTAACTTTTTTTCTTTTTTACTGGTTTATCACAATGAAAGATAATGAACACTGCATGTCATAAAAACCCTGAACAACCACAGCCAGAAAATTAGCATTAAAAAGTTCAACGCACGTATTACATTATAAAATGACTAAAATAGTGAAGTGCTATATTTCACACCCACAAATGTCTATCTTTAAGAATCAAGACAAGATTTTCATTGTTGAAAAGTCCTAGTTTTCTCAAGCCATCATTTGATGTGTACATCTGAGTAAACTCTTAAGTGAAAATGAAGAAGTGCAAATAATTTAGTATCAATAGACAATAATAATCCATTCAGCGAGTGGATCAAGCTCGGTCCAAATTTAAGTCACACAATTATTTCATTTGTCTCCTCATTCTTTTTCCTTTAATCTGTGTTCATGGACCAAAATGCAACCTCAAAAAATCATCTCATCAAGGCCATGATGAAATAATATAAGCAAGATCATTCTAAGAGTTAGTATCCAATAATAGCCAGGATGTATTTTCATTGTTTCATCATCATGACTCATGGAATGGCTTTCTACATGCCACTTCTAAGAACTCTCATTGTAACATCATACTGTAGTAGGCCAAACAGTCATTTGCATGGCCTTACTTTCTCCTATCGTTGTTATGGGCTGAATTATGCAACACCTCCCCCCAAATTAATAGGTTGAATCTATAAGCATCCCGCATACTGAAATGTAACAATAGTTGGTGATAATGTCCTTAAAGAGATGATTAAAGGGAGTAGGCCCTAATGCAGTATGACTGAGTCTTTAAGAGGAAATTCCAACCCAGTGAAAGCGACAAAAGCATCAGAAACTCAGCATGACTCTCAGAAAGAAGGATGACCACGAAGCCACAGGGAAAAAAATCAAACCATACTGAATCTCTGATCCCAGGCTTCTTGTTTCCAAAATTGTGATGAGATCAATTTCTGTTCTATGAAACACTTAGTATTTTGTTCACTCAGCTCTGGTGATATAGAGGAAATAAATGTAGTTCCCAACCTGCTAGATGTCAGATGTGCCAAGTTCATTTCCCCAAAATTCAAGAATGAATTCTAAGGAACAATGGAGGTGAAGAGTAGGAAATATTTACTGAGAGAGAGAGCTCCTGATAGACAGAAGGGGAAGTGAAAACGGGTTGCCACGAACTCCACTGAAGAAAGTTTTATAGAGCAAAATCACAAGGTGGGTATAAAGTCACAAGGTAAATACAACGTGGGCCAAAACTAGGACCGACAAATAAGACTACAACTTTAGTTGCTTAGGGTAATATTGATCCGACGGAGAAGCAGGTCACATAGCAAGAGTATACGGAAAAGAAACAAGGACGTTTTTAGGAAGAGATGAATCAGGAGTCCCAGTCACCCACCAGGGTGACTGATTTCTATCTAGACTTCATTAGACCAGGTAATACCAATAATAGTATATTGCTTATGCCTTGGGGAGGCATGGAGGCTTGGTAATTCCGCCTTTATCTTGAAACCTGGCCTTCAATAGATTCACTTCCAGCCGCAGCTGTGTTCTCTCATCTTCTGCACTGACTTCCTCAGGGCTTAGCCTTGTCTGACGGCCTAGAATATTTCTACATAACTTAGCTGTCTATAATACTAGCAGACTAATACAAATTCTTAAAGCAAATGTTGTTATGTGTGCTTCCTCCAGTAAGGCTATTATTGGTGTAATGAGGTGGCTTTTTTTTTTAAATTGTGAGTCAATAAGATTATCATTTTAAAGGAGTCTTTAGCTATTATACCTTCTGAGGTCTAAAAATGAAAGACATATATAAAACTAAAGAAAGACTAAGTATAACTTAGAGTCAACTTCCCATAATAACTTCTTCTCAGGCAAATTATGAGATGGAGAAATCTACTATTCTAGGGAAAATTATCCCTAGTGTTTAGTGCATTATCAAATAATATCTTTTCCTGAATATATATGGTACAAAAATTTTCTCTGTCTTGAGCGCAAAAAGATATTTAAATCCCAATTCTCACTCTTAATGATGTGATATGTCAACAATGGCTCAATGGTAAGAAAGAGCAAAGCAACCCTGAAACTAAATAATCCCAGTAAAAAAATAACAATGTTTGTTCAATACAAAGGCCTTCATGTTTTAAAGGTGAGGTGGTGGGTATAGAAAAGTTGCTGATTCTGCTGTGACATGCAGCCAGTAGGCCTTAAGAATACAGCTAGTTGGCCATATAGTTTTCTTTGCAGAAGAATATCCAAAGTGTAGCTCTTAAACATGAGCTCTAATCTTGAATATAAAGCATGGAGCACCAGTCCTGCCACTGTGTTGGTGGATTAGAAAGCAAGTATCCATCAAGTGTGGAAAAATCTATTACAGCCAGAAGTAGAAATGGAATAAAGAGATTTCAATTTCTCTTAGAAGCAATTACCTACCTGTTCTGTGATTAATTAAATTCTAGAATTGTTGCATAATTGATGAGCAAAGAAAAGTGTCCTCATAGAAGACAACAATTTTCTATAAATATGACATATGGATCCTCAGCCAAAAAGGATAATGGAGCCATATTTGAATCACATCTTTCTCGAGTAGGCTGTGACTGATATGCAGAGACCAGTGCCAGCTATATATCTGTCCCCAAACTCCCAGTGTTACAATTATTGACCATTTGCCTTCCTACTTATCCTTTTACACAACTCCTCCCACTTGCTGTGTATGAATACCTACACATAAAAAATTATTTTCCAATTTAATCCAGAGTTTTAAACCTGTTTCTTCTTTTTTACTGCTACAGACTGACAGAATCAAAGCTCTGTCATCTATCAGAACTACATGAATATTAAATCAGAAGCCCAGCGTGATGGTGCAGGCCGGGAATCCTAGCAATCTGGGAGTCTGAGGTAGGAGGATGCCAAGTTTCAAGCCCAGCTCAGGCAGTTTAGCAACTTAGCAAGACTTTCTATCAACATAAAAAGTAAAAATAAAATGAGCAGTCAGGGGAAGTAGCTCAATGTGAAAGCAATTCCCAATACAGA